CGTGTGTGCTTTCTGTATGAGAAAGGCAAAGGTTAGAGCATTGTAGACTGTGAGAGGAATCGTTTTTCAAGCTCTCCCACGATGGAGTTCATGTTTGTGTTAGGCTGGATCTGTGGAAGTCGAAGACCCTGTCCTCCACCATCACCTCTTGTTCCTTCTCTTCCTCCCTCTGTTCCTCCTGCTGCTGCCGATGTATCTAAGGGGTCAAGAGAATCCATGCAGGCCTGGCTTTTTTTCACCTTTTTGAGTGGGACCTGTTTGTGGTCTATCTGGCTGAACATGTTGGCCACTGACTTCTCAATGTCCTCAATGTTTTGGATGTTCTTTAAAATTCCTTTCAGCTCTTTTTGAGGAGGTTCAGGCTCAGTTGTGGGGGGCGGTGGTGGCCGGAGGGACACAGGCCGCAGGGCTGGCGCCTCAGACAGTGATGGGAGGACAAAGGTGGATAGATGCAGGAGTGAGGGTGACAAAGGGGGAGGAAGAGGTGGAGGTGGGGGAGGAGGAGGAGGTGCCTGTGTTTTTGTATGGTTGGAATGAGATGAAGCAGGAAGGGATGAGGAAGGGTGGTGTGGAAGAGGAAATGAAAAATGGAGATGAGCTGAGGTGGGATGTGGCAGAGGTGGAGATGGAGGAGGTGGTGGAGGAACTGAAGGAGGATCAGGGATAACTTCTAAGTGGACATGAAGTCTGTCTTCGCCACTTTGGCTTCCGGTTAAATTGGCCCCGAAGCGACGCAGCACAGGAGGAGTTGGTTTGTGACTTGGTGGAGGGGTCCCTCCATCACTGTGGGTGACAATAATACTTGGGGGACCCTCATTAGTCTGAGCAGTTGGGACATTATGCTTGTAATGTTGAGGAGACTCTGGGACAACAGAAAGTAGAATATCAGATAACAAAGATCCTCGTGAATCTCTGTTTTGCCTTTGCCTCATTTCCTGAAGTGCCTGTTGCTCAAATTGTCTGGCTTGTTCTTTGACTGTCAGCTTGGGTTCCAGACTTGGGCTTCCCATTAAGTCCGAGTCCAGTCCACGGTCAAAGCCTGAATCCAGACCTGCATCTTTATTTTCCTTAAATTCAGCCTTTAGAAGCTCCAGCTCCCATTGCACCGGATCCATGATCACTTGGCACCCCAAAGCATTATACATCTCTCTTCGACGTAATCTTGATGGAAATGTCCAGCTGTGTCCACACCTAGATCCCCATCTGCTGTCACTGCCACCAGGAGAGCTTAGCCTAAGCCAAGCCTCTCGAAGGCCTTTCCTGGAAGGGGAGGAATTCCCAAGAAGGTCTTTTTTCCTCTGACTTCTTCCAAGAGTCTCTGGGCTACTTGAAGTTCCATCCTCATGGTAGATGGGGTTTTTGATAGTAAGGGGGTTTTCATCAGAAAGAAAGGTGATGTTGGACTCAGATTTGGGCAAATTGTTGAGCACCCCACCATTGGCAATGCACTGGTGATGGGCAGCAATTGCCCGTGTGGCGAAGTCTGAGATCAGACGTTGGCGGTCGCTTTCATCCAAGCTGCCAACACTCCCACTACCACCATGATTTGACCGGCTGGTATATAGATGGAGGAAAGAAATAACATAGAAAAGATGAAATGAAGGGAAATAACAAAATGGCAGAAAAAAATGAAGGACAAAGACAGTATAGTGAATTGGAAAGATAATTATATAAAGCAAAGCTAAATGAAATTAAAGAGGGAGATGGGGACTGGATGAAATTTCCATGAAAGGGCAATAATGCACAATGTTAAAATTAAATATTGTATAAGGAACAAAAAAACAGAACCTGCAAATGCAAATAGATCTTATGTACACTAAAAGTAGTGCGCTACAAGGAAACTGCAGCACCATGACTATAAACAATGCCATATCTGTTGGGAGAAGGACAGATGAGCATGTCATGAAGTTCTCCAAGTATGTAGATTTCCATCCAACAAAAGACTGTTTATATTCACAAATGCACAATCAACCAACAACACAACTTTGCTGTATGATCTACCAAAGAATAAATAAACTATGGGAAGACAACTAACCACTTAGAAGCACAGACACAAACACAAGGCAAGAAAACAGTCACAAATGTAAATTTTCAGCATCCTACTCACTTTTGCCTGTCAAGGTGGATGGATGAGGACAAGAGAAGACAAACATCAGTCAAAGTGAGAACAGGATAAGTGGATTGATGTTAAAATAAGATAAGGGCTTCAGTAGTAGAAAAGGTCTACCGAACATGGTAACAAATCATGGTAGCATAATCCCACATTAACTGGTTGGCTGTACATTAGTGCAGTTTTGCTTTATTGCCCTGTGCCACTTTTATGATACACATTCGTACCTGGCAAAGGTCTTATCCCATCAGAGCCATTTACTCCTGTCCAACAGGGGTAAGTACCTTTATTAACATCTTGGCATTTGTTGAGGGAATGAAGAACATTTCTAATTAATTCTTCAGTGCCTGTCTGGGATTACAAATGGCAACTTTCCAGTCACAACCTGTGTGCCATGTCCCTGAACCTGTCTTAGTTTCTACTTCATGCCACATAAATCTGTTTTCAAAACATATCTGTTTTGGAAAAACCATTAGAAATTAAGAGATGGTAGGCTGATAGATGATTAAATCATTTTATAATACAGTGAATCAAAGGATAATCTCAAACTTTTTAGAGATGCTCATGACAGATAATGTTTAAAATCAAATTATTACAGCATTATCTAGCTTCCTTCCTGCTAGTTGCTTTTCAATGCTGGGGTTAAGGGCCTTGCTCAAGGGCACCACAGTAGTGTTGATAAGCTGGTAAGCACTGCTTTGTCACCCTGTTCCACCCAGATTTTTTTTCCTACCATTCCACAGGCTGAACCAGCAACCTTCCAGTCACAAGCTGCTTCTCTAACCTTTAGGCCTCCATTTTATTTTTCATATTCAACAGACATCAAAACTCAAGCTTGTCAAGAGAATAGACAAAGGCTGTTTAAAAGAGGAAATAAAAATCTACCTACTGAACAGTTTGATAATGGACCTTAACTATTAATGCGCATACGTTTCGCATTTTGCCAGGTTTTACACTCTTTGGGAATTATTTAATCCCTACAAGACTGCGGTGATGCAGAGCACACACACGGTATTACACAATAAATCCCAAAGAGTCTACTTTGTGAACAGACACACACCTTCCAAACCAGAATTAAACATGCTCTGCAGCTTATCAATAGAATTAATTATTGCCCAGGGTGGTCTTTATTAATTATGGGCTGAATTTATTTCATTTATCTCATATCCAAGTTCATTTCCAGACACATTTTAGGGGATCATTTGGGCTGGTTAGTTTCATATGCCCACACACTCAAACACAGTTGAAATCCCTTATTGTCATTTGGCATTAGTACCTACCTTCTTGCATATGAATTGCTCTCTTGTTAATGGGAGTGGGGAGGTATATCAAGGACAGACAGGAACCCGGTGATGCATGTAATGGTGATAAGAGTTCCACTCAGGTTCTTAATGCTCCAACAAGGAACTGTGTATTGCCTTGCTTGAGTGTGCATGCACGTGTGGGTATGTGTATACGGTTGTAAAAACTTTCAGATAAAAGTTAATATGGTGTCTTTACATAGTCACTATCAGACTCGTTTAACCAAACCAACACGTACCAAACCAGTAGAAACTGGCAAGAGGGTGAATTAAACACAATTTGCTAGAAGACACAAATGGGGAAAGTGGTGAAGAGAATATGATTAAAGTGCATAATAGTAAGCAGCTTTCTGAGGGAGCATAGAGTAGATAGGCCATGGCGCTCCTCTACACTGTTAGAGAGCTATAGTAGAGAATAAAAAGTATTTCCAGATTATTACCAAAATGCCTATTTATATTGCCTCGATTTGCTGGCCATGGTCACTGGCCTCGTGATGAATAACGCTAAAATTTACTTACAAAGCAAACATTCACAAAACCCGTATTCCAATTTGTTGTGAAGGATGATTAAGAAAAAGTCATTCTGGACTTCACTGAATGTTTGATGTTTCAGCAACTGTGCCTCAAATATTTGGTTTACTTGTGATTACAGTGTTACTGAAAGCCAGAAATGAAAAATTTAAAATGAACTTGAAAAGCCACATTGTAAAGTGAACACTGCTCTTTGGACAGATTACTGATATTCATTTACCTTTGTATAATGATGAGACTGATATGCAGTTTAACAGGGTGACAAGAAAAAAGCTGAATGTTGCTGAACCTTGGTGAAGATTAAAAAAAGCAGGGTTTATCTACACTGCTACACTGTTAAAACCAAAGCTTTGTTCGGCATGAGTCTGATGTGGGGTTACAGGGCTCTGTTTGATTAATATACATAGTTTCTTTGGCCATGGCAAAAACTGAAATGAACATCTCAAGATAAAAAGCTCTAAAGCCCACATTCACAAATATCTGAGGCGACTTTCAGACACATTCAACTCTATAAATCCTATATATGCCTATAAATCCTTGGATTGGCTCCCAGCTCCAGAGTGATATGTGAAACCTCAACACAGCAGGTCAAGTGCAGTGAAAAACCGAGTACAAAAGTCTTAACATTTATCCATTTGACACAAAAGAGACTTAAGGCGTGGACCAGTTAATTTAAGTGCCAACCTATTTTGGCAATCCTTTATATATGGCTGTTGAAGAAGTTTGGCAATGATATGGATGAGTGTCAGTCAAAGGACACTAGGGAAGCTGGCTTCACTTCTTAATATTGTTCATCAGTTAAATTTTACAATTTCACAAACAATGAAATAAAACAAGGTAAGCTTAATGATACAGTATAATTTAAATATATTATAAAATTTTGATTTTTGCTGATGTTTGTGTACCATTTCTTTCCCTTTTTATTATATTTGCAATATGGATTTATGATATTTTTGTTTCCTAAATGCTTTTTGGATTGATTGTTACTGTTTATGTTGTATCCTTTTCAATCCCCTTTTTTTGGCTCAGTGTAAATGCACCTTTCATAGTTCACTTACATGGCATTGTCACCCAGCTCTTCATACAGGTTGTTGGCGGTACCTCCCCCAGGTTTGCCTGTTGGCAGTGCCATCTGGATACGACTTGTTTTGGCACACTCTGCTTGACGTCTGGACCCGGCAGAGAGAAAACACAGAGTTGGTATCTAATGTTAAGAGTAAAATCCTGACCTTAGACAGTAGTACAACAGTCATCGCATAGACTGTAGGACTTATAAGTACTTTCTTTGTGCAGAACATCTGATGTCTCAGGCTTCAGGGCAACTATGTTACATCTCTCTGTCCTTAGGCAAGCCCTCATGTCATCTGCTCCTATTTATTTGTACTTGCTTTGGAAAAATATGTAATATTAACATTACATTGTAAAATACACATTTTGCTACAGCACAGTATATTTTTAGCCATAGTAGCTATCCAGATTTTTTTGATTGCACTGTAGGTGTCAGTCCACCACATGGGTCCAGGCTGAAATATCTTAATTACTGCAACAATTACCATGACATTTGATGCAGACATTCATAATGGCCTGCAGATAAATCCCTTTGACTTTTGTGGTCCCACCTGTCCTTGTCGTCAGCCTTAACTGCAATTTGTGTTTATTGTTTAAAAAATATCTGCATGCTAAAATGATAAAGTGTAAAATAAAAACAGCAGTAGGCTCTTAGGGTAAGTCCAAATTCCCTTAATTGCATCCATATTTTCTGTCATTTGCATTTTTTCCTCGGGTGTTAGTCCACCCATGTAACATGTGAGGAAAGAATGAATGGGAAAAAAAAATGTGAGGAAAGAGGAATTGAGGAAGCACGTTTTAAAGATGAGACATTATTTCCTCTGACCCTTCATTTGAGACATCCAATCACCAACTGATCTCTGATAAAGGGGCGTGTCGGTTCGTAAGACTTCTGTGAAGGATGGTCTCTTGTATCCTCACTCATGGCTACTCTGAGCAGGAATAAGAGCTTGGAGACATCTTTCATTATGGCAGACTGGAATGACTTCCAGGACAAGCAAGGACTGAAGAGTGAGGAATGATAAAATAAGGGAATTAGGATTTATCCATAGTCTCTCAGCGGTATCCTGAATGTTTGTGTAACTCCTTCATTTAAGCTTTGAACATAAAATTGAAATTAATGGACAAACTGAATACAATAAATGTGAGTTACACAATAAAACATAGAAAATGTTTGCTAAGATAATGGCACTATTAGCTAATGGTGATAGAAGGGCAAATATGGCTCCAGCAGCAAAACCCCTGAGCAAACTGGCCTAATCTTCCAAATGTCAACACACACACACACACACACACACACACACAGGCATACAGTACTCTAATAAAAGCATTGGTCCTGGATGTTTACTGATTCCATTTGTTTGACACTCTGCTGTCATTTGTTTCACAGCCACTCAGAATCAGAATCCGCTTCATTGGCCAGGTGTGTTGGACACACGAGGAATTTGACTCTTGTACATCGGCTCTCGGTGTGCATGTACATATCCCCACATAAAGGCAACAGCAATGGGCAAGTAAACAGTAAACCAACATAAGGCTGTGTAGTATAACAAAATAAACAGTATTAACAAGCAATAAACAGTGCAAATAATGCAAAATAAACAGTATAAACAGGCAGTAAACAAAAAACTGAGCTTATCGATTTTATTGTGCAATGAAAATCAACAGATTAATCCCATAGGAAGGTATCTAAAGACATGGCATGGCAATATTTTAGCATGGAATATGAAAGCAGTACTTACTCTTTGAATCTGGCAGCAGCAGATGCAGCAGATAAGACAGAGAGAGATTTTTCGATTATTTGAACCATAAATCTCACAGTGTCTGTTGTTAATCAGCTTTACTTAATCTAATTTACAAGCAAAGTCAGACAGTTGGTCTTCATTACCGTCATTTAGCAGCAGAGACTAGTAATTATTACACTGATGATTATTACTTTGTTTTTGCCTCTCCTTTCCTCAGTCTGTTATTTGTCTTTTTCTCAGCAGGATGCCATGCTCCTTCCAAAATGCATTGATCCAGTTTAAATGTGTGCGTGATCTTGTTTTGGGGATGGATGAAATTAATAGGCTTTCATGGTGGTTAGCTAAACAAAACTATTAGAATTGGCACTGTGGGACAGGTTGCCATGCTGAATCATCTAGGGAAGTGAGTGGCCCTGGTGATAGAATGATAAATAGCGCTAAAGGACGTCCTGTGGGAGAGACTGTCAGCTTTGTCTATTTGGCTGTCTGCGTGCTCTTAAAAGAAATTCACAGGTTTTCTTTGTTACAATTCCTATTTGAAGTCAGATCTTTTCAGACCAACATGTTCTGAGGACCTAAACTCGTATTGTACATTATAATTCAGTATCACCACATTGATGTTGATGTAAATGGTGTCACTTCAAGCACAATTACCTCAGTAGCTGGAATGCCTGGAAATAACACCAAAAGTACAATATAAAACCATTAGCTTTGAAGGATAGGATTTACAGTACTGTATTACTGGACTGTTATGGTGGAATGCAACAGGAAGGCTTTTTAATTTCCTAAAACAACTGGGCATGTAGTTGTAATGAGCTGTGGATCAATACAGGTTTGAATATTACTGTGAATTTATGACACTGTATGGACAATGCATGTGGGCTCAACTCCAAATAAATCACATTGCTTATGTTCATTGTAATCAAGCAACATGCCACCCAGTTCAGCTTCGTCATTAAATTACTGTATATATTTTGTTGGGCAACAATGAGTACAATACAGTGAAGCATGTTATATCAGGCTTTGACTACACAGCTATTAACTGTTAGTATAGGATCAAGTTCACTGTGGGTTTTGGAGGCTTCATGGGAAATGCTGATTAAAAAGCAAACTGATTAATATCGCTACCCTTAAACACAAGCTCATCAGAAAGACAACAGGCTCCTTCAGCCTCACTCAGCCTATATTGTCCCTGATTAAAATACCAATGTTATTCCAAAAATGTAAAAAATACTTCACCTGAGTCATACTTACTGTTTGTAGGTGATAATAACGATCAGTATGGCAGGAACACAGCAGATGATGATGATTACTGCCAAAGCCAACAGCGCCCCCTCTGTGTAGCCTACAGTCTGCACAGCTTTCTTTACGCTGGTCACCAACTCGGGGGTTTGGATCTCCAGAATTCTCCCACCAGGAGGGAGGAAAGGCTGGAACTCTTTGTTGATGTCCAAGAGTTTACCATCAAGAAATCTTAAAAGGAGAAACAATCATGTGACTGAGACCATGTTTACATGAGAATAAACTCGGCCCACAACCTATATTACACAGTGCAGTGACGCCAAGTGCATAAAATGCATGACAGGAACTACAGATGCCTGGTTGTGACAAGCTGTACAAAATGCTGCCTCCAGACAGCCAATGTTGTTACTGTTCACTTGATTTATCAGACAATGTGTAATATCTTATTTAATGCACCTTTAATGCCTGTTGGTCGCTAAGTCCGCCAGTTTCACACTAAGATCACACAGACACACAGCCACTTAATTGTGCTGCTGTACTTAAAATCTGTTTAGTAGTTGTCCATTTTTTGTGTCTCTTGAGCATAAGAACTTGCTGTATCTTCTCATTTGGATAAGCTACCAAAGAGTACAAATCTAACGTCATCAAAATACCTGAAAACCTGTGCGAGTGGCAGCACTCCAAAAAACTGAGGTCAATTAATTCAGGAATTACTTAACTGCAATACAATTTAGGTTAGGTCCTGCATCATTTTATGATATAAAGCTTTTGGAGAGCTGCCATTTAACCTTTCATGGATTTGTTTGCAAAGGTCTTACTTGAAGAGCTCCTGTCTAGATACGGCTCTATTTGTCAGTGGGTCGATAGCATAAATCATGAGGTCCGATTTGGTGTAGTCATCTTGCTCTGTTCCATCACTATAGCGGTGGGGCCCAATGGATTCCACAACGACCTTTGCTCCTGGTATCTGCTCCTGGACGTAATGTTCCAAGATGCTGAGGATTAAATATATTCATTGATAGATCAGACTACGACTTCTGCAGGGCACCACAAACAGTATTACATTATATATACAAATGTTCACAAATACATCTCTGTGAACACATGCATGTAGTTAGAAACATGAAAAGATAAAACCCTCAGACCCTGGTCACACATCACACACCCAACAGACATATAAACCACACACATTTCTCTCATCCTGTCAGCTAGGCAGATTCATGCTGTGCAATATTGATTTCTGTCCCCCCAGAACCACCTGCTC